CATGTACATAATATACCATATTGATTATGTAGTTATCCGCAAATAAAATAATGTTTGCTGCCACGTGGACAGGGCAGGAGTATACGTATAGCGTGCGGAGCATGTCGCGTTAATATTTTGAATCGAATTTTTAAATGTCACTGCCTGAACGATTAAGCTGACGAAAAAAGGAAAATATTATTAATGGTGTGAGATTACCAGCTTTCCTCTACAGGAAGTGGAAAAAAGTTACCGCTTCGTTGTCCTGGCAGACTTTTTCCCCAATGACAGCGATCTTAGAAATTTAGTAAAACACTGTATGAGGACCTTCTAACAGAATACAGAAGGATCCATCAATGTTATTGAATCATGTATACCTCGTAACATCGCTGCACAAGTTACAGATACGAGTATATAGTGCGAGAAATTAAAATATCTTTGTTTATGGTGAACATAAAAACCCTGTTGTATAAAGAACAGTTGGCCGAGATATATATAAATTGAGCAGGTAATTGCATTTTTGGAAGCACAACATTTTGTTCCGCATCATCTGGACTTTAAGTTTATGTGCAGCCAAGGGTGAACCTAGGATTTCATGCAGGGAGAAGGACAGATTTACAGTTCACGATATTAGATTTTCCCCTTGTAACATTCTGAATAGCAAAAAACGACTCGGGGGCTTACAACAGAAGTATTTGAGTCTTCGGAGATTCGCAACTAGAAAGGCAGTCTGCTTCTCGGAGGCGGCATATTCTTGGAACGCATTGCGAGGCAAAACTTCATTGCTTCGAACATTCATCTTAAACTTTACTATTGTTGAACTTTTTATATGATTGTCAGTACGAGATCCTGCCTCTTGGATCTGCAGCTATCTGTTTTTTGATAAATTTAATTTTTATGAATGACAAGCAATAGTAGAATAGATTACAGCAGGGTTGCCAAGAAAAAAATAGCCGCAACTACATGTAATAAAATACAGGGTTCGATCGGTAGCTCTGCTATTGCGCATTACAGTATCTAAAACAGTTAATGACAAAGATTGTATGTAGCCAACAGCATATTCTTCACTTGGAAAATGTTTTATTTCTACAGGTTAAACAGACATGCATTTTTAAATGAAAAGTTGAGTGTTTTATTTGGATAGATTGAAACGTTGTATTTAAATCTGCAATAAGATGAAACGCTTCCGATTTAAAAAATGCATGTTTGGAACACCGCATAGTTATGAATCAACCTGTAAAGATAAAAATATGTTCCAACTAAGGAGCATACTGTTGGCTATCATTTTTGTGATTAACTTTTTTAGATACTACGCGCAATAACAGACTTATCGACCGAGCCCACTCTAAAAACTCACGCTGTACTTAATTACAGGTAATTGCAGCTATTTTTTTCCATGCTGTAATCTATTCGACTATTAGACATTTATCATTCATAAAAATCAAGTGTCATAAAAAACGTACCTGCAGATTTAAGCTGTCGGATCTTAGACTATGTGTAGTTTGTGTGTTTCTCCCTACCATGATTTACGAGACTATGAAAGAAGACCAGATTTCTGGAATTAGAGAACATCCTGGGACAACGTCATCATATTTCATGTAGTACAAACAGTTGTTTAACACGTGGGACCGCTTTACAACAGGCCTATCACGTATGGACCGCTTTGTATTTAATTTATTTTCACGGTGACTCCAGCCAAAGCTCCATATTTAAATTCATTTTAGAGTTAGATATGGACCGCTGTGGCTGGTATGGATTATACCCTAATGCCTACTTTTTGGTGTATTTTAGTTTTAAATAGAGTTATTCAATTTTTTATTGATTCACATCATTTATTTCCTACTAAATCTGCACAACAACATTGACAAAAACAAACATGATTCCAGTGAAAATGCATATATATATATATATATATATATAACACACAAAAAATAGACAAATAATGGACAAAATCTGCAAAAAGAAGGAAAGTGGATTCGAGCAGAAAATAGGATAGGTAACCCGAGCGATACTTATTTCTACTGGTTGGCTTCATCAGGCCTGAAATGAATGCACATATGTAACTCCAAAGTAGATAAACATGCCTATACATCCGGGTGTAACCTGAGGAAACGAAGGTGGAGAGGGAAAAAATCACACACGAAGTCTACAACAAGAGCTAACCTACACATTGTAGTATACAATGGCTAGAAGACCCCGAATTTTCAAGGCGTTATCTAACCACAACCATGCGGCTGGTTAAAGCCACTTGCTGTGGTACTTCAAACCCAAAGGATCTACAAAGAGAAAATGATCATGGGGCCGTTTAAGTATTACGTAAGCAGATTTATTACAATTATTTGTCAACTAATGTATTGTTTTTTTTAATATAATTATAACGTTATAATTATAATTTGAAAAATATGAAAATAGATTTAGGATAAAGATTATACTTTACTGATACGGTATTCAACATAGAGTAAAGGACAAAATATTATATCTTAACAAACTTATTTTAAATTTTTGGTATATATATTAAATTCAAATTAAGTCTTCAGTCCATGAAACCCGAATCCATGATTCTAAGTTTTCGATGACATTGGATTGCTTCGATTGCTGCTCAGTGTTGTGAGTTTGCTCGCTTTCATCGGATTTTGGAATGTCTACATCTTTCTCATCGAGCCATTCAACATCATGGTGCTCTAAATTTTGAATAATGCACATCAGTTCATTAGCACGACGAGCAGCGACTTTTACAGGTCTAACTTTCCTATCAGTGTGCGTGTTTACTTTTTCATGGATATTTTCGATGTGAAGATTTAGTGACTTGACGGAAGCATGCTAAAGACCACACGTTTTGCATGTTCGACTTGATAGCCTCAATTTTACCGTCTGACAAAAATAATCATAGGGCATTTGCAGAAAATCTTTGAGTGAAGCACTTAAGCGTAGAGCTAAATTGACTGGAAGATTAAGAAATTGCCCTCCTTCATCCAAAACCAAGTCATCAACTGTTTGTTTTACTTTTACAGGTGGTGGAAGAAACCTATTGTCTAGTAATCTAAATAGGCCACTTCTTGGACGACAGCATTCTGTATTCCTACATTTTACAATGTGAAGCAAGTATTGGATCTCATGCACATGTTCTGAATACCATTTAATATCTGGAAAATCAGGAAGATCTTGTTCACCTGCCCCAACATATTTTGCATTAACATTATAGCCATCAATTTCCATTGAACTCCATACTTCAGCTAATACATTTCCTGCAAATTCGAAATTAGATCTTTCTAAATGTTCATCAATTGGAACACCACGTTCATCCAAATGAGACCCAAAATGGTCATGAGGCAATGTTAAACCAGCCAGTTCCCGACTAAGAGGAGCCATTCTGTGCTCTACTCTGTTATACGCACTTCTTGCAGGAGCATTGGTAGCTAAAAACAATGCATCGAGATCATGTCGCTTAAAGTGTTGTATAGCAAACCCTATGACTTTTTGATAACGTGGATTTTCATCTGGCGCTCCATCAACCGTCATGATTACCACTGGTTTTACTAGTCCATGGTCAGTTTTAGCTAATGGTCGAAACTCTTCAAGTTCGAAAAGCGTCTCGAAATCCTGAGCATGAGTATTAGCAGTAGATGAACTATGCTTTCCACTTCGAATAGCGATGTATGTTGGTCCAGAATATCCAACGGCTTGCGGTTGTCCTAGCATATTGGAAGTGATTTTGATACCAACATAAACAGATGGTATTACTTTATGACGCTCAGCGATTACCCAATCGTGATCAGGCAATTTGATTCTATATTCCATGTGCATTAGAAGAGGTGCTTGCTTATTTGTCGCAGTTACGCCAATAGGGACTCGAGCTTCATCATCTTGAGGTATGAAAAATACTTGATCTGGTCCAAGTATGGATGCTATGTTCTCTAAATAATGGATTGATGTTTCAGCGAACTTGCTATCTAAGTGGCTCTTATGGTGATCAGTTTGAGCCCGAATGAGCTTAACAGGGACTGTCGATACATGTCTTCGTCCCTCTGCAGAATTAGATTTTATGGGAATCAAACGAAGATATGTCCCACTGCGACTAATGTCAAATCCTATTTTACGTAATTCTTGTGTGAGTTCGTCTTCTATCATCTGCTGCACTCCAAAATAAAGCTATATCCGCGATTGTTTTCAATAGTGAATGTTGATTACTTTCAAGATTAGGACGTCCCACTGAATCCCTCAGAGATAGTCTTTTTTTTAATTCTGCGTTTTGAACCTTCCTGTTTAAATACTGTTTTGCTGTTTTTATTTCCTCGCGCAACTTAATGATCTGTTTATCAACTTCAGCACGGCTTGGCATAATATCTCTGTCAGAATACAAAGCATTCAGATTTTTTTCTACTAGAGCAATCTTATTTTTCATTGCTTCCTGAGAAGGTTTTGCTCTCTGTTTGTCTGTATTTTCATTAATTTCGCATGGCTGTTGTGATTCATTACCGGGTTTTATTTTATCTTCTTCCTCTTTTTTAATATTTTAAGCTGACTGTATAATTTGTGTTTTTTCTGCAGGTTTACAGGTTGCCTAAAAATAAAAACTTGCTTCAGCTAAAGATTCTCTTATTAAGCTACATGAATACAAAGTATGGCAATATACACCTTAGGAAAAACCATTGTTATACATGGGAAATCATTTCTTGGCAACAGCGCATCGGCTCGTCTACCTTCATCGCTATTCGTACATATTTCCTACCGTTAACGCGCGTGCCGTCGTCAAGTGCGATAAGGGATTCATGACACACTCTGCGGTTGGGTTTTGTGTAGGAAAGGTGCGTCTTTATTTATTCCAAAATATCTTAAAAATGTACTCGCAAGAAGAAAAGTTTCAAATGATAGAATGGTACATCCAGAATAATTCAGCACCCGCGGTTGTTGAATTATTTGCGGTACGCTTCCCAGATCGGCCAATTCCGTCTCACGCAACGGTTATAAATACCTACGAAAAATTCAAGAGGGTGGGCTGCTTACATAAGTGCCACAGCTGCATGCACCCTGAAGGTTGAAAACCAAAAATTAGCGAGAAAAGGGAGGAGATCGAAATTGCTGTTTGTGCCGCTGCGGAAGTATCTGAGCCATGCTCAAGCAGAAAAATAGCTGAAATGGTACCAATAGCCGATCTCACACCCAGAACAACAAGAAATATTTTGCATCGCAACGGCTATCATAGCTTCAAGGTTGGAACGGTTCAAGAAATATTTCCTTTAGACAAATACCGTCGAATGGAGTTTTGTGAAACGGTCATGGAGAAGTCGAACAGCGATGGAAGTTTTATTGATAACATTTTGTTTACTGATGAATCCACATTCCCTCTCCACGGTCATCACAATCCTTCAGTCGTTCGGTATTGGTCTCGGGAAAATAAATACCTCAGTATTCCCGTCCGCACGCAGTATCCACAGAAACTGAATGTGTGGGCAGGAATTCTAGGTAATAACATTATCGGACCGTTCTTTATTGATGGAACTCTTACGGCTGCAAAATATTTGGCGTTACTACAGACGCAGATTGTTCCTGCAATTAGGCAGCTTGGCATTGATCTCGCTAATATTTGGTTCCAACAAGATGGATGCCCGGCGCATAATGCGGCGATCGTACACACTTACCTTGAAAGTGTGTTCGGCCACCGGATTATTGGCGGTAACGGAACAATAAAATGGCCTCCTAGATCACCCGATTTAGCGCCCAATGATTTTTTCTTGTGGGGTTATGTGAAAAGTACTGTTTACACTTTCAATGAGAGAGCAGACAATTTGCATAACCTATAGGCGAAAATCGTTGAAGCGCTCGGACAAATACAGCCTTCTACCCTCTTGAGAGTTCGTCAGGAGTTTTATAACCGCCTGACATACTGTTCATTGAATGAAGGAGACGTTTTTGAGCCCCAGCTGTGAAGGACCATTTGAAACATTTGTGTTCATTATTGCGTTTTATTTTTGAGAACTTATTTTTTTGTTAGAATATCTTTTTATTTTCGTTACACATTTTTAAGAGTGTACTATTTTTTGTTAGAGTGGGTATCTTCTTATTTTTGTTATGAGACGCAACCTTTATTGCTACAAAACCAATTATCCATTCATAAAAATAAGTAGAGTGATTTAGGTGATTTCGTGAAATCTCGAAATCACCGAAATCGGTTCACAGGACGTCCAATCGAACTGGTGCGTAATACGCGCATCTACTGTGCTTCTTCTGTCGACTCAACGCATACTGAAATTTGCAGTAGACCGCAGACCTGTATCACGAATGAGAATAATAGGCAGATACGCTGTGTTGCCAATTTGAGTAGAGCTTCCCGAATTGTGGGGAATTTAGAGTTAAGTGTTGATTCATTCAAGCTTTTAATCAGCATGGCCTAGACGTTAGAACTTTATAAAGATAATATTGAAGCTGAATTCTGCTGGAGTATAGTATTTCGAATATTCAAAGCGGAGCGGGACACTATACTCGTTCAATGGGTCATCAAGCCACAGTCTTTTCAACAAAGAAATTATTTGACGAAAATGCGTTATATTTTTACGATTTTGTCGTCACCAAATCTCTGTTTCTCAAAATGTACGTCTATTGTAGAATTTTCAGTAAACTAAGCAAGAAACGTGATCTAGTATTTACTCAACATTACGGATATCTCGAAATACATTAAAAAATGTGACCTAGATACCTAACTGCCCCAAGCTCTTTAAATATAACACCTTAAACCAGGGTTACCAGGTGCTCAGTCACGTTGATTGTCATGTTGTACTGCGCAAGTCAGCAAACAATCTGGCGTAATAAACGTTAGGAATCATCAGGTATTGCCAGATTCCCGAATACCAGGCACCATAGTACCCGTTATAGTTGTCCTTCAAAGTTGTCAAATCGCCCCTATGGCGCAAATTCGCCACACCAGGCAACTGTGCTATAAACAAACTCTGTTTATCACTATTATTTAAAAGTCATATGGTAGTTGTAGCCCTATCTAGCGGTCCATGATTTCTCTCAATACTGTTGTATCTCTACTGGCAACAAGAATAGGGATTACAAAATCATTTATACAACAATATACAAACATGAAAAATATGATTTGAACCATGAAACATTAATACAATTTTAATAGTTTGAACTTTTTTCATTTTTGGAATACTCTTATGTGGAATCCGCAGCTATTTTTCCCGAAATTTGGGTAGACTTAGATTTCTTAGAAATAAGCGGCAGGCGCCAGCGCCCGTTCTGCCATCTCTCTTTTATCACTCTTCTACTTTACCCCGTTGTCCGTCACACTCCGACGCTGCCAGATAGGATCCTACAATCGAGTGTCTTTCACGCACCTACATACTTTTGTATATTTCCATCTCTCTTCCTCATCATAATGTATAATAATGGTTTTTCCGAAGGTGTACATGTATATGGTAAATACAAAACCTTATGGCTTTAAATCTAATATGTTTAAACGAGCAATTCGTTCCGGTCACAAAATACAGGGTGTTAGTTTTCTGTATATATGTATAAAACTAACATCCTGTACTTTTTGACCAATAGACGGAAGCAATCATAAGAAATAATTCTATAATATAATGAATATTACCTCTATACTTTGAGATAGGCCATAATATTTTCTAATCAGTAAAGAGAATTTTTTTGGCGATTTCTAATATTTCTAGTACTCATAGGTACCTAAAATGATTTCGTCACTCACCTTAGAAAAAAAATTTAGTAGATTGGATTTATTCTTAGTCGCCGCTTGCAATTTTTCTTCGATTCTCTCAGATACAATAATATCTAGTTCCTTGTCGGATTTTGCTTGTTATTTGTAATTTCGACACACTTCCTTAACTAACTTTTGTACATTTTGTACTTTCGTACTTGTATGAGATTTTTTAAAACTTTCAAACAATTTTTGGTACAACTTGGATTTGTCTATGTGAAACGACATCTTATTTAAACATTAATCTTTGGCTAATGGAATCAATGGTAACACAAATGTTAACTTGCTTTGCTATGCTTACAATACGTCTACTCGCTATAGTATCCAAACGAAACAATACACTGATAGAGGAAATTTAGACAAGTGAACACCGCGCGGTATTTCCCCTACTCGGTTCTAAAGCGAGTAGGGGAATTACCGTGCGCTGTTCACTAAACGTATGCATTATTTGCGGGAATCCCCGAAAATACGTTTCGTTTTCAAGCAAAGACAATGTGAGGGTTGCCATTCGTGTAAAAAAGTAAATAACTACCGATGACGTAATCATCATTTAGACTCCCCTACCCCCCATGTTATCCAAAATAAGCAAAGCATATATTATATATGTAGGTATATATATATATAACTTGAGACGTGGTCATTGTCGTCTAGACCAGTTAGGTGAAAAATTAAAGCTTCCGCCTTTTGTTGGGTACTTCGACAAAATTTAAGCAAAGAGGACTCTTAAAAAAAGTATAAAGAGTCCTCCGCTTAAATTTTGTCGAAGTACCCAACAAAAGGCGGAAGCTTTAATTTTTCACCTATATATATATATATATATATATATATATATATATATATATATATATATATAATAAGTTATGATATAGGGATACAAAATATAAGATAATTTCATTTATTTAAGACTTGTTCCGAAGCAGTCAAGGCTAAAGTGGGAACACTGAAATGTATCGTTCAGCGACGAACTGGAGTCTGAAAAATTTTTATTCTATAATGTCGCCGATGTAATATTTTTCTTGAGCCTACTTCGAGGAAAGGTTTCTTGCAAGTTGAACCAAACGTTAACTCATTTTATAATGGCACGTAAAAGGCACTAACTGGAAGCAACTACTATCAACCAGAGCATCAACGTCTAATCTACCATGGTCAGCAATAAATTGATTTGTGTAAGTAAAACAGGAACGAACAAGTCAAATCGGACCGCCATGACGTGCTAGGTATATGTTTCCCGCCACGCCACTTCGGTCCCTGGAGACCGCTAAACATTTTTTTGAGAAAACAGCTAAAGAGATCATAAATAAATGAATCAAACGTATTTCTGCAGACTGTAAGTCATAAGCAGAACAAATGATACAAAATTGGACTTTGGCCAGATGGACATTTTTCTAACATTTTTGTTGGCGTTTAACGTGTCAAAGATGTATCATTGATTTATGACATTTGTAGTCAAACTGGAATGTCTCACCCATCTTGACAGTGAATTTACAGTAGTCATGCGTTACACAAAAGATGATCGTCACAAAACGCAGGGAACTCTAATTTACGGACTACTATCAGTTATCTTCCAAATTATAGTAGCTTGCAATTGAAAATTTGGATCACACCATTACAATATTTCTATTGAAATCTACGACAACAATTCCAGCTACTTGTGAGGCAGATCATATTCGTCTTATAAATGTCTCTATCTGGTGTCTACTTTTCTTTTATAGCAGCAATGGTTCCAGAACATCAGTTACAAATTAACTTCAAGCTAACCACCCTGCAGTTCCGGGCTAGTTAACGACTTGCAAATTCTCTAGAAACATCCGGAGTAGTTCTTGGCTTAATAACTTACCGTAAAACGTGAACTTTCTTTATAATCAACTTACCTAAGAAGAAAAGTTATTCGTTGAGCGACTGTGCTCAACATAAAGATGTGTGAGTTTGTTCGAATAGAACAATTGGAAAAATGAATCTCCTTCGTTCTTCTTTCATCGAAGCAGCCACCTGGGCAGAAGCCTAAATACCGGTGCAAAGCGGCTGCTATAAGGAGCTTAAAGACTTTTTTTTGTTAATATGGTTTTTGAAGTGCCTAAGGTTAGTAGAGTAGGGAAAAGCGTCATCAGGCAGGTGGTTTCATAATCTCGACACACTAGAGCCCAAATAGCGGTTATTTCCGGATTTGCGAATTTCAACACGGTTAAGATCGGAAGCAAAGCCAGGAGGATCTGTCTGGCATTCTTATCACGCGGCGACATCATAGAGGAGAACTCTGAGGAGCAAAACTCATTGACATAGTAGTAGAAGAGCGCCAGATCGCCTACGGGCCATCGGTGCGAAAGGGTCCTGGGAGTGTCCGCTAGAGAAGAGTCATCAGCTGGACAGTCCTCCAATGAAGAGTATCCGGCATGGATAATGTAGTCGGGTCGACAGAAGTCCTCGGTAGTCTCAGGCTTTGGGTAATGGTGAGTGCACATCCTGCTGCTTCGGTCTCGATTGAGCCTAATCAGAGTCCATTATGGGCATTAAAATCGCCGAGGAGAACTATCTGTAAATCAGGGTAATTGATGTTCAAAAAGTCGCTCTTGACAAATAGGTACGAGTATTTAAGTAGGTCATCCGAGTTATGATCCGAGGCAGAGCGATAGAGGCAGGAAACAAACTTGGGGGATGATTTGGAGTTGAGTCATAACCACAAAACGTCCTTGCAGCCTGACTCCAAAGAGACAACATACAACTTTTCCGTTCTTCTTCAAATTGGAATGTACCTCGTAGTTCGGAAATCTAAGACGGTTAATCGGGACAGTATCGGATTTCGTCTCCACCAATAAAAGCAGATAGCAGTTAGTGAGGAGAAGCTTCGATGTTGCGGTGAATCCCGGAGATGTTCCTGAAGGACATTTTATCATCTATCTTGTTCCCTCGGGTCGACCCCCTACTTGGACATTCCGAAAGTGCAGCGAGCTTACGTCCGGAATTTTTAGTGCTCAAAAAGTCATTTTTTGTTGTGGAGGGGAAGGGGAAGAAGAAGAAAACCGACTGCATGGCTTAGGTCTGGGAACATGCGGATATTTTTAAACACGAAAATTGGCTTGTAAGCGGACTTGTACGGCCACCCGGCAATCGGCATTGAGGTATTGCTTAACACGCAAAAAACTTGAACTTGAAGAAGTTGTATGCCGAGTGCAAAAACTTCCAGAACAAGCTTTCGCCACGGCTCCGCTGGCTAGGAAAAATTCATCGTTTGAAAAAAATTAAAATGGGGTATTCTCTTTCAATTCAATATTGCATTTTAACAGGTGGAATAGACTGTTTATGCCTCTTTTTCAACAATTATTCTGTTTTATCCTTGTTTCTTCCTCGTGTGTTGAAAAACGGTTTTGAATATCGTACATTGGAAGCTCATTTATATTCTCTGTATTTCCCATCGAATGTAGAAGCTAGGAGGATTTTATATTTATCTGCGGTAAGGATGAATCGTGATCATGTCAATAGTCAAAGTCACAGAAATTAGTTTTTCTTCCGCGGCACGGGCATTAGGTTATATCATTTTTTTTTACATCATACTGTTTTTTGCAGACCAATACACATAATCATCCAGATGTGATCTTGATGTTCAACCAACTTCCTTCTCAGAAATGGAAACTACAGACTACTCGGCTTCACAAAATGCAACCAACAATGCGTGTAGTTTAGTTCAGTCATTTCTCCATAGATGGACGCTCACAATGATCCTAGTGAGCAAGCGTGGAATGACTGTTTGCACCCTAAAAACTACCTATTCTGCAAGATGATATTTTATAGGATTTTTTTGACGTTTTATAGGTTTTTCACATAATACCCGTGCCGATTGCTTAACTTCTTATATGTAGAAGAAGTAGGGTCGAATTCTAAGGACAGGGCGTGAGAAAACTTATTAAGGAATGTTTATAACTTTTAACGGCAGTGCTTTGGCGCAAATTTTCCTTGAACCAAGGAAGTCAGGCTTTCTCAGTTCTCGTTCATTGAAACAAGTGAAAAGGGCCCATATCATACTTTTTGGAGGCAAAGTATTCACTATTCATATTCTGCCGGAAAAAGCTACAAAAAATTATTGAAGTCATGTATGATGAGATATGAATTCGAACTTATCCACGCTGAACCATCTTACACTGGCCACTTTTAAATATTATAATTCTTGATGTTCCGAGTTATGTATATATGGGCATGACGCCGGATTAACATATGATCTAGTTTATGTTGAAGGTACTACCCAATGTCTTCAGCGTTTAGTATTTCAACGCCCTTGAGGCAGATTAGGTGAACCTATTTTGATATGTTTCTGAAGGTGTCGGTCGAAAGTGTGTTGTGATTATGAAGATATCATACTTATTTGAGATATTTAATCAAATTAAGTTACAAACTTACCATAGATCATAAGGTGAACCAACTAGTTTATTGTCAGGCCAGACAAGTATACAACCAGTCCATGTAACTCCATTGTATCTGAAAGAATTATTTCTTTTAGATTGACTAATCAGGATTCTTAGTCTATCAAAACTGTTACTTCTAACTTTTAACATATGTTACTATTTTCTAGTGAAATAAAACTCCAGATGTTGTACGGGTCCGTGTATTATACTCGTATTTGTGCCTTAGAGTAAACGCCCATAGGTGGTCAACAGACAAAAACACGTCAAAAGATTTCAAGTATCTTATCAGAAGTATCCTTTTTCTATACTTACTTGCCGGTGATTGTGGTAGAATAGAAGAGGCAGGGTAGAGCCAGTATCATGCTTGCTGTCCATATTAAGGAAATAATCACTAATGATAATTTTCTCGACATTCTGGGCTCTAAAGGATGAATGATCGCCAAGTACCTGTAACATATTTAATAACCTTCACAACAAAAAAGCCTACAGCACCAATATGTTGTATTGTATGTATCACATATACGCTGAGAACTATTTGCGTGTTTATATTTTAGTTTATTATTGGATTTACGTTCGGAATATGCATGCTCCATAAAGCATGATGGTAATTCCCCCAGACATTTAGACACAGCCTGACAAATACGCTATATATTCTATCGTTTTTAGTCGGGGCTTCCATGCACCAACAAAAATCTCTAATTTGTCTTCAAAAGAAATGTCACTTGTCTAGGCGTTGGGCTCCAAAATTCTTTTATCCAACTTCTTGAACATGAGTATTTGAAATCTGGATATCGTATAATCTGTTGGGTTAGGTATTTTGTGTGTGGGTCAATCACGATCCTGCTCTGTCACTCACTGGTCTATTGTAGCTCACACCTATTATTTATATTTTCCCCGGTAATTCCGAGCTCATAAGGAGGTCGATCAACTTATTTGGAGAAATATCATTCAGGTCATCTACTTGGAGTATAATTCCCCCAAGTATACTGTACCTCATTTTGACAAGTGCAGGACTTCCGCATAAAACATGCTTAACTGTTTCGTCTCCTAAGTACAGTGAGAACTCATCGTGTTCCACCATGTCGAGCCTGCTTGTGTAGTGACGCAGTTTGCAATGACCCGTGTACCGCCCCACTTAAGAATTAAGTCTATCTCTGCCAGTTGACTGTCTTGTTTCCCTTCGGACCTGAATGTCAAGGCATCTAAATATTTCGATCTTCAAGAGCTTCTTTAATCATCTGTTATATTGTATAACCATAAATAATTATTGTTGAAGAGTTAGAAGTACTTTAACGGAAACACATTGGACTAATAGAGATATTGGTAATCACAAACACCGGATACGTAAACGTTAATCTTAGCTTCATTTGTTATTTAATCATTCACTTAAGTATCAAAAGTCTTAGGCCTTCGTGGTGGTTCAAGTATAAAAAAAAGGTGAACGTTTGAGAGCAAACCACGGATGTATTGAGGAAAAACGTTCCATGCTCGAACTTTTCAGACGACGGTGGCTCTTACTAACTAATGTTTCTTTGGACGCCGAGAAAATGAAGATTGAATATGGTGTGTACAGGGATGATAAATTTTCAGACAACCTCGGTGCTTACACATTGGTAAACATCACCATCGTGACATCGATGGCTTCAATACATCGAAACAAATATACTGAGTGACAAAAAAAGTAAACACCTACGTATGTTTACTAGAATTCAAGAATTTTTTACATATCGACTTATTTTGCCAGTGATAAAATGGTCAGGTTTTTCTGATAAGTTTTTGTGGTGGCTACATGTATTGTTTGGTGATAAAGAAGCATTCATTGTGATTGCTCAAAATGCCTAGAGTGCGTAGAATTCTCTGGCTTACTATGAGAGGGGTTGAATTGTCGGGACAAGACCGCCAGTTAATACTTTTGGCTCTGAGAGACAGATTCAGTAGTATTCGAGCCACTGCTAATCAGTGGCTTGAAGAGCATGGAAGGATGGTCGGTATGCGTACAGTATATCACCGAGAACGACAGTTTGGCCTTTTTTCTTAACGCCCACATTGGGTGCTACCTCTCACAGCTGAACGTCGGCGTAACCGTTTGCTCTGGTGTAGAGAAAGAATTCTATGGGACTGGGAATGGAATCAGGTGGTCTTTAGTGACGAATCCCGCATCTGTCTGGGGATGCACGATGGTCGGGCAAGAGTGATAATGCGACGTGGTGAAAGACGTGACCCACAATTTGACAGAGAGAGTCACGTTGAGCACACCGTGGGAGTTACGGTATGGGGTGCTATTGCTAATGGTAGCAGATCACCATTAATTTTCAGCAGAGGCAATATGACAGCCTGGCACTATATACAGTAGCTAGTGAAGCCTCAACTTATTCATACCTAAACACCATCCAAAACCCGATTTATTCAGCAAGACAATGCCAGACCGCATATTGCCAGAGCATCGTTAGCCTTCATGGATCAACATCGCAACAACCATTTACCTTGGCCAACACGATCGCCTGACCTATCTCTAATTGAACATGTCTGGGACATGATAGGCCGCAGGCTCTCGAATTTGCAACACCTTCCACAGACTTAAGTAGCTCTTACTCATGAAGTTGCAGTAGCCTGGAATGAGATACCTCAACAAGATATCAACACCCTATCAGCGCGATGCCCAGGCGTGTCAATGATTGTATAAGAAATCGTAGATCCTCAACACATTATTGAAGCAGCTTCTGCAGTCAGTAGACGAATCAAGCTGAAAATTTGATCATTTTACTAGTAAGGGACAGTGAACATATATGCCAAAAATTATTAGAATCGCATAAACATATGTAGCTGTTTACCTTTTTTGTCACTCAGTATATCTCGACGCGCTAACCTCTTGGCTACCCACGCTTCTTAGTTGGTGTTATTAAACCGATAAGCTGGGGCATGGTGAGTGAAAACCAGGGAAATACGGAATATAAAGCAGATACTACAGTCCATTTAGCGCATATGATGATAATATTGATGTTACTGGAGTACAAACAGAAGTCTGCAATATAAAGATTCTGCCAATTTTGAAACTACCATTTCTCATTTAGAGATAGCATAACAGTTAAGGTACACCGATGGTTTTTTCCTTTCGATGACGATGCACCGATATGTTGACGTAGAATCATCGATGCTGAAACGTCGATGTTCTTGGTTCGATGTACCGATGTTTTTGATAGATAGATGTTGCCATCCTTAGGTATGTAAAAGATGCAATATCTACTTCGAGCAGACGGGAAATCATAGGTTGGCGTTGGTTTGACCATTTTGAGTGAAAACCTCGAGAGTGAGGAAGTTTCCTATTTTTTGAAACACACCTAAAATGATAGTCTAAATAAAGTGACATACAGCACTGGAGCGCGTGACTAAGTGATGACGGCACAATACATCAGCGACCATCACCACCATGGATGACGTCACAATACATCAGCGACCATCACCACCATGGATGACGTCACAATACGTCAGCGACCATCACCACCATAAAGTGATGCACCTACCGCGCGCGCTTCGCGCTGTTTACAAACGTTATTCTGCTTTGCTCTAATTCTAATTAATGAATCCAAAAGAGTTTATAAGAAGCCCACGCATGTTTATCAGTCACCCAGCTGACTGCAGCTTTGGCAACTATGCGGTAGTATAGAATAATACATAAATTATACATAGAAAACATACAAAACATAGTTTTTTAAGAGTTGATATTCAATCCGTTTCTAGTGATCTTAAAAACACTGTAACTCAATAATGAACACGGTCAAAACATTTCTTTGCAAACGCAGCCGTCATATTGGAGCCGTTACCTCGATTTTTAAACAGTCGAACTAAATTCGTTATTAGTGACCGTAAAAATATCTAAACCATAGATTGGAATAATAATTAGTTAGAAAACAAAGACATGCATTTTTTTGTAAAATCGAGTAAATCTTTCTAATTATGGCCATATGTTAGGACTTTTGAACCACTGTGACGTCGATTGCGTGTGGGCTTGATTATAAATATTGATGCATGCCACAACATAAATATTTCGCACAGCATGTAATAATAATAAGAGGATTTTTTTATTTGATTTAATTATTAACTATTATTAGGTCCACCTTTAGAAGATTAGTGAAATCAGTGCACAGAAAACGTTCTTCCATTTTATTTATTGTATATCTATAATATTGCACAGCAGTCAATGTCAAAATACAAACAATATATTGCGACTGGTCAGCTTGAGCGCTAAGGATGGATGCAAGGGCTGTCGCCTCATCCGGCCACGTGTGACACTGTACTGTTAAGAAGTTTAATTTGAACTTCATAAAGGTCACCGTTAAGACCGAGACGTTGTTCAATAAAGGGGAATTCTAAGGATATATGGGTTTGAATCGGCCAGACATCCAGACAAGCATGGGAGATAAATAAGTTGATATGTTAAACTGATTTGACGTTGTATGATGTTTTTTCGTTCACGTGTGACAAACACTCTAATAGATCCTGTTGAGCACAGGGCCGTAATAAAATATCTGCAAAAAAGGTATGGAGACGATTTAAGCCATTGTGACAACTGATGGAGGATACAGAAAAAAATGGCGTCAAGTAGGTTGACTCTGGACTTCCCACGCAAAGCCATCATCATTTCATAGAGGATTGTGTTCGGCACAAGTTAGACCCTCTGAGACAAAGTAGTAGTAGTAACGAACAGGTACAACAGGGAAATCAAACGAATGAAGTCGGTACAACAGGTCCACACAATTAATCCGTAGACATTATTTCCCTGCCCTACCGGTAGTCCATCTGGCAACGTCGCCTTTCCCTCATACGTGACGGCACAATGCGTCAGACGCGGCAGTAAGGCCAGAACACTTGCCGATGTGCCAGACAACAGAAACAGTGATCCTTATCGAAAGCATTTCTCGATCATTCTGTTTTGAGAGCAAATATACGTGGAAACCTATGATGTGTGAAATATGCCTTAAGAGGTGTCAGAACTACCGAGGTTGGGTGCTTAAAAACATAATAAAAAAAAAACTAAAAAAGTTGAGTTACCCCTTTCCCACCCCCTCACAAGTACCCTCTGCCTCTGAAATGTTAAAGCGATTTTTATTTTTTATGAGGAAGTTCCATCAAAATCCAACCGGTACTCTTCAAGTTATAGATGGGCCAAGGATTAGTAAACAGACAGACAGAAATACAGACAGCCCGGCAGACAGACTGACAGAAATAAGCGACATGGTTTTTCATGATGTACATGTCATATAACATCCAAAATCACAATACATCTCGTTTTAGGATTTTGTTGTGATTACAATAGTTCCTCGCCAGTTGGCGTGGGAGTTAAGAAATATAAGGTCTTACAAGACATATCTGTAGCATCACAGGGGCTTATTAAGCTAGGTTAATCTCAAAATTGCGAGAAAATCTTGTATAGACATGTTGGAGATGTTAACAAGTGACGTGCTGTTTGATTAGGATAATGATGTCAGCCATATCTCCTGCATTGCTGTGATTATCCACCTCGTTACCTACTGTATTCGTCAGAGCTACCCCCCAGTGATTACATACTATTTAAAAAATTACAAGAGTTTTCAGAAGTTGAAGAAAATTGTGACCGGGAGGCTATTGAAGCGTTGGAGATTGAACAACTGCATTGATATCAGTAGACGTACAAAAATAGAAAATCTATCTGCAGAACGCACACTGTAAGAAAATCACAATCTAGCGGAACTAAGTTCCTATTGATACGAAAGTTATAAAGGATCAGGGTTCAACGCCATTAAAAAGACTAAAAATTCAAGTTAATCGCATCTATAACAATTTGCATTCAAATATTTCAGTAAATTTTAGTACTAGATTGTTATTTAAAAACCCGAAAATCATCCATTTTCGAATATTTGGCTATGAGGGCATGCATGGTCGCAACACTTTCTATCTCAAAACTATAATAATAAATAAAACATATCCATGTAAATAAAGGTGTTGCTCCTCTGCGCTCACATTGAAAACAAAAGTTGAATCAAACCCTATTTCACAAGTATCCATCACACCTTGACGTCTACTGAGCTGAACAGCTGACATTTTTGTATTAGTCTGCAACGTTGGCAATACTGAATCGGATGTAAATCCAGTAAAACTTACTTGTAGCGTTTTGTTTTTAATATGCAAATGAACTTTTCTAAATAAAAGAGTACTAAGTACAAAATGAATCTGTAGCGTACAAGAAACCAAAACAAAATACGGCTATGTCTACTTGGAGGTGACAGATCCATCAGAATTACGTGTACTTTGTCAATATAGGGAATTTTGAAATACTATTAGATAATCAGGTATTATACTACCGTAATGGATACTCGTGAAATAGACAATACATATCTCGATATAAGTAAATTCACGCCGCGCATTATGGTAATCGAGTAGTGTCACGAGAATATATATTTTGACTCGAATATATTGTATAACAGTGCAGTCGCAATACTTGTGTCAAAAAGTTAATTTTAATGAAATCAGTATATATAATAACTCTAAGTAGACAGTTATTAATTCTTTCAATTGCAACTAATCTTCGCGCTATTCGGTTCTTAATGTTAAATAATAAACATTATAAAAACACTCCAAACGCTTTTTCTAGGAGCTACACCCAAGCATATAAAGAAGATTGAAGGACAATAGCAGCGGAGCAGTTCTAATAAGTTCAGAAAATAGGGAAGATATGTATATTAATTCGGCAGCTATGGATGTTGGTATGCATTTCAAGTCTGATAATGAAACATGTATAGATCCAGAATCAATGACGTGTACAAGCAGTGAATCAAGCAAAGCAAAAACATTCGAGTTGTATGCTTTGCAACTCTACAAATAATCTTCAAAGATTAGATTACCAGCGCTTAGAAGAGAGTGCAGAAAAATCGGATTGTTGATTGTTGTGACATTTGTGTTGAATTTCTTCTATAAATTTGTAATGTGATATGTTTGTTCTCGCTTCAAAGTTCATATAATAAAGTAGGTACTCTGACTTTCTCGGGGCCGGAAAATCCCCTTATACACAAGTTATAAATTATTTTTGTACATTGCAATAAGCACTTTATAGTAAAGAAACAAGTTTTACAAGTTAATCAGGGAAATAAATACCAATACTTCTGACTTGATTCGACTTTCCGAAAGCTGCCCTGATTGTTAAATACAATTTCTTCAAGACTGCCTCTTAAATACTTTGGATCCACCGTTTTTGAGCTTTATCTCAACAACCTTAGACAAATTTTTCCGGTCTCCCTGGCCTTGCTGAAAAAATGTAGAAGGTTGCAATATACGTGATAACTGTTAATTATACTTCTTGATAGAAGGGAATTTAAGATTAATGATTGTCTAGCAATGTCATAAGTTCTAGTTTAAAAAGGGCCACCGTGGTAGTGGAAGCGTTGGTAAAGAGAAGGAATTCAAACATCCTGGTTTCATTTAGCGGTCCGACAACCACGAACTCATATCAGCATGAAAAATACAGGATACAGGATACAGCCTGTAAGATTCAGGTGCTACCTTAATGATGATATACATATGACAAAATAGCGTTATATCCAACTTGGTTTTGCCCTCACAAATTGTTGGACTAAAAATGAGCTGTATTTCGCGTCTTTATTAAGTTGCTTGATCTACGCATATGACTCTTTGTCTGATTCAATAAAAAAGTCAATAATTGAGGTGAATGACACTATTACTTTGATGATCACTTCGCAACAGTAATAATAGTTTGCATAAACTAACGGTGCACAACGAATAATATAAAAGAGTCATTTTACTTATGAACATAAATATTTTTAATTTCTATGGCGACAAAAAATATATGCTGTCCTGTTAAATAGGGACTTTTCTCAAAACACGGTGAAATCGAATACCGAGTACCGGATACTCGGCCCGGTAAAGGGTACTATAAAAGTTTTACAATACTTACAATACTTTATATATTGATTTCGTTCAAAGTAATTTCCACCACATTCAATACACTTCTCCATCCGCCAAAAGCAGTCCTTAAACCAGCTCTGTCATGTTTCACCAGGGAGTGCGGCACACTCCTTGTTCCAAGCCCTCAAAAGTTCATCATCGCTAGAAAACCGTTTTTCTTTTAGCTCCATTTTCACATGCATAAACAGTGCAAAGTCGCAGAGAGCAAGATCTGTACTGCAAGGAGAGTGCTCAATATGTTTCAGTCAAATACTCGGTGCAGGCTTTGGCGCGGTGTGCTGGAGCGTTGTCATGGTGGAGGTACCATTCTTGACTTTGGCCGCAGGTTTTCCATAGACTCTATGACTTTAGACAGGCACTGTCCCGTGTACCACTTAGGTGTGACTGTCTTCTGTGTGTCCAAAATGACACTCTCCACTATCCCGGCTCGGTTTGAAAGATACAGCTATCATTTTTTTCTTAACAGATTGGGATTTTCTGAAAACTAGAGCTGTGTGTCCTAATCATCAAAGACCCAAATTTTGTTTTGATCATTGGTAGGAACATCGTAATAATAGAGGCAAGTTTTGTCACCTGTCACGATGCTGTTTACGAACTGAGATTGCCCCTTATAAGACATTTTCAGCATCTTTCGGCACCAAGTCGTACGACGAATTTTCCGCTCGTCTGTCAGACTATGCGGTACCCAGAGAGAACAAAGTTTCCTTACGTGTAAATGGTCATGCAAAATTGAACGAATTGCTGATGCGTGAAGGTGTAAGGTCTCCTAAATATCACAGCAGTAAAGTTACTGACGTTCTCGGCCTTCCTTCCCTCTCAGCGTCCTCCAGAGTGAAATTGATCCTTTGGAATTCTCTGTACCACCTAAATACTACCCTGAGGACAATCATACTTTAATCCAATCGTCATTTCTTCTAAGCACTGGTCTATGCTTAAACCACGCGTAAAGCTATACCTTATCTCACTACGTCACCACGACGCCATATTCCGCACTTTAAGCTGTCAATACGAATAAACAACTAAATCAACAGACGTGCTGCCAGCGGCTACTATGCACTCATGAACATTTCTCAGCATGTAGTAACATGCGGCCTCCTGCGTCCGTTTGTTAAGTCATATCGCAAAGCTACTCGGTCGGTGAAAATGCGGATAACGTGAACAACGTACGCCGCGTGTGGAGTATGGTGTACATCGCGTGTTTTGATAAGGATTTTCCACCTTTCCTCCTTATACTCCAAGAATCGTCAAGGTGTCGAAAAAACGTGAGAGATCTTTGTGAAGCAAAATTTATTCCCTACAAAAACATTAGATTCTTAGTTTAGCCATTATAAGCGGAAATAACATTACCTTTGCCCTTTAATTTATCGAAATCTGTTGACTATGCGACAATAATTTGTGAAAGCAAAATGATAAAGAATTAAATTCCTTACAAAATTGATCACCTTTTACATAGAGTCAATGGTTTTCGAGATGTTCCATCAAACGCGTTTATCAAAATGATCCATCTCTACCATGATGCCAATTTGAACTTATTAATAGGAAGCAATACTCTAACGCTACCACAAAAAATAGTGTCGCCTAAACTGTAGTATTTCCTTATACAAAATCTCCCTATTTATTGGCCTGTTTGTCCTCACACACCGCGGCATAGACCGTCGGTTAAAAGATGCAGCAAGTGACACTGCTTCAGAAGCAAGAATATCTAGGATATCTCATACTATGTTAGTAAGTAGCCTGTACACAGTCAACATGTTAAGCATGTAACATCGGAGGGCCCAAGTAACCAATGTTGGAGATTGGGAAATGTCATTTTGCATAGCTTATTGATAGCTATAAAAAATGCGGTACTCCTGATGATAGGCTGTCATTCGAACCCTCTAAGTTTGAATAAAGTTCCTTTGAAAAAGTTGTTGTCTACGTAGAACAAACATGAAGTATTGAGTGTTACGGTTGAACGGCGCCGGTGACTATTCTGATATCGATATTAAAATTATTATGGCGATGTCAAAATTAACTTAAACGGTTGAAATCAATTAGAATTAGCACCCTAGCTTAAGTTAAGAATTGTGGAACCGGATTTTGGTATCTAATAGATTTTAGTTCCTATCTAAGCTCTCGTTTGAATACTGGAATTTTGAGGGAGGCAGTGTCAAAATTAGCATGTACAACTACACTTGGCCGTCTCCTCTCATTTGAATGACGTATAACAGAAACAGACTAAGTTTCAGTTTGCCATTTTACTCACCACATTTTTATCCACCGTTCGCGGAAATATGGAGAAATTTGATAGATTTTGCGAATGACCCCTGTAGCGGCACCATATTCACGCTCATGCTTGCGATCTGGAATGTTCGCGACGCAACTCCTATTCGATATCGGTCTAGAAGCACCTGCTGACATCTTATAAGTTCCCGAAAATGCTGGAATATTTCTCGACGCGTGGATAAGCGAATAAATACCCGACCAGATGGCGGAAGCAGTCTGTTACAGTCGAGTGACCGTCTAGACAGTCAAATAACGCGGAACGCCATAGTCCAGTCAACATGGTTATAAATTGTCACAGATTAGTACAAGTGTTATAAATTAGTGTAAAAGTAATGAATTAGAATGTTCACGGTAAAACGGTATTTTCGTTATATTAATTTACTCCGCTTAAGTTAAGTTTTGTATTTCTTAAAAGTGTATGGTTCTTCCAAAGTTACATACCGACGAAAAAGAGTCAGATAACTTTTCATGTTGTTAAAAACTCATCTGTAATTGAAATTTCCCTGTACAAACCTGTCGCAGGAGATTCCAGTTAGTGTGAATACACTGGCCGCCACGGTGCAGTTGGCAATGAAGTTGTTCATTGTGCAGTACCAGTCACCGAAAGGCCAATTCCTGGAAAAACAGAAAGCGTGAGATATTTGTCATAGGTGCATAAATTCGCGAGTCAATAGTTATGCTCAGTTGCACTCAGATGGTAAGAGTTAGCGCTGCGTCAAATATTCCTTAGCTCAGTTGCTGAACATCGCTCGGTGTCGACTGAATCTGCTGATAACTCACACATAACCTGTAACACCCGCTAACTTTTGTCAATCAACCTGAAGGTTTTCAAAACTTTCTGCACAGTCCATTCCTATGGCATCTAGTAGACTAAGCCCAGCCTACCTTCATGTAGCGCTCTTAGTAGCTGGGCTGCGTCGTAAATTGCTAAAAAGTGTACTTACTAGTAGTTTACTTTACTTAGTTATCAAAAAGTGCTCAAAATAGGTAGAATATATATTTTTCACGATAAGTGAACTATAGTAACAGAAATCGTGGTTAGAAATTAGTCGACTATCATTACATGATACATAAATGAAAATCCATAGTGCTCCCAAAGGCACCCTTGAGTGCAACTGAACGTAACAATTGATGCAATATTTTTCTGTGATGGAAGGAATTTAGTCTGGTTAAACTTCCAAGCATCAACAAAAGTTTGAATTTCAGCTTGTTAATATTGAATATATGAGAAACGATCGAGCTTAATTTTTTATTTGATATGCTTAAGAATTGTCATTTTATATAAAATATAATCAAGCGTAGTCAACTGAAAATTTGTACCAAACCATTGAGTCATAGGTTTATGCTAATGAGGCTCAAGTCTTCAAGGTTAAAGTAACCAAGGCCAACGCCAAAATTGAGCGGGATCTAATGAAAATCGAACGATGAAAATTGAAGCCGCCTCTTGACTACTGTTATTCCACTATACAACATGCGCTACAGAACCTTGTTAATTACACACCTGT